CTTTTTTTTTTTTTTTTTTTTGTGCCCCCCCTCCCCCCCCCCCTCTTCTCCCTCTCCCCGGCTGCCAGGGGAGAGCTGGCACGTATATACCGTAAATACTGCATGTATCTCAACTGTAAACTGTATAATGTGCATGTGTGTGTAGAATGTACTGTGTATATAAGGTTATGATTCGACGAATGCTGTGTCATTGTATGGAGCGAAACGTGGCAAGGGGGATGGAACCTGACTCATTGAAAATGTCAGTGGCGCCTTCTGTGTTATCGTTTCCGGGAAGTAACATCGCAAGGGGCGTGTGGACGAATGAGAGTGGAAAACAGCCTTCAGGAAAGGTCTGCTGGGCTATAAATAGATCGAGAAAAGTACAGATAGATGGGCAGATATCTTTAGATAAGATAATACAAGATAAGGTAAGATGGGAAAACATGTGGTAAGATAAGATAAGATAAGATAAGATAAGATAGGATAAGATACGATATGATAAGATAGGATAAGATAAGATAAGATGAGATTATACTAGATCGGTAGATCGATAGATAGACAAAGAGATCGATAAATAGCTATATAAGATAGATAGGCCGGCAGGTAGATAGATGTTTTTTTTGGCCTTTGCGCTCCGATACACGGTGTGACGATATATATGGATAGATGGGTATAAGACAGGTAGATAGATAGATAAGATCAGTAGGTATGTAGTTAGATGGATAGATAGATAGATAGATAGATAGATAGATAGGTAGGTAGACAGGTAGATAGATAGATGGATAAGATAGATAGATAGATAGATAGATAGATAGANGATAGATAGATAGATAGATAGATAGATAGATAGGTAGGTAGACAGGTAGATAGATAGATGGATAAGATAGATAGATAGATAGATAGATAGATAGATAGATAGATAGATAGATAGGTAGGTAGACAGGTAGATAGATAGATGGATAAGATAGATAGATAGATAAATAGATAGATAGATAGATAGATAGATAGATAGATAGATAGATAGATAGATAGCATGATACTGACGAGCGACGTTCATGGACATAGATATCCATGGCTGAGTGGGTGTGTAGAGTGGGATTTATGACTGTGTCAGATAGTTTCTCAGACTTACTGCCGTTCTTGTCAGAGGTTTGGACCGACAGTCTGCTAGGATTGCAGGGTTGGTGTGAGTAAAGTCCACCACTTAGGGGTTCGCTAACTCTGGGCGATGTGGCAAGTCCTTATCCATCAGTCAAATGCATTCTGGGCAGATTGCCGGCATTTGACCTCCTTGACGAGTTGGCGAAAGCCCGACGAAACAGTCTGTCTCAGTCATGCTTTTCTTTGTGCAGATTGTGTATAGCAGATATGAAAACACTCACACGCACACCATGTCGAGTCACGCAATCGGGCATTTTTTCTTCTTCTTGTACTCACAACTTTTGTAGGAGTTGGCCGAGGCTTGCCACCACACTCCCGCCACTCTGAAAACTTTCCGACGACCTTTATTTTTGGGGAAGCACCCGCACCCCGTGCACGCGCATGGAGTGTGTACACTGTGTGGCGTGTGTGCACGAGTGGCACGCACATGGTGCACCTGCACAATTGTGTAAGCACCCGCCGACACCCCGTGCGCACGCATGGAGCGTGTACACGGTGTGGCGCGTGTGCACGAGTGACGCACACGTGGTGCACCTGCACAATTGTGTAAGCACCCGCACCCCGTGCGCGCGAGTTGCGCACACGTGGTGCACCTGCGCAATTGTGTTTTCCGATCTTACCTCAGTAACTTTACCTTTACTGCAAGTACGATTAGCATGGCCCCGGCACAATTGTATGCTGCAAGCACATTGTATCCGCGTACTTGCAGCAAACAATTGTGTGTTCGGATTTTACCTCAGTAAATGGATGCTAACAATCTTTTCATTTCTATTGTTGTTTCTAAATTTGGACCATTTCTCGATTGATGCGTGCCATCCTTGAGTGCGCAGGGGCCATGCTAATCTTCTCTGTATCGTTGCAATTCTAACGGATGTCCCGAAGGACTACCAATGAATTGTATTTACTATTGGGTTTGCTGCTGAAGCTAACAATGGTATTTACTTACTGTCAGGTTAACAGTTGTATTTTCTGTTGAAGCTATCAATATTTACTGTTCACTCTCATATCGATCGATTGAGGAATAGGAGGAACTGCAGACGGTCGATTCGATTCGTGTTGTTATTTTTGTTTTGCTTCGTTCACCGAACATCCAGAATCATTTAGAATCATTTTTTCGACGTTTTGTGTTTTCACAAATAAGAGGTCTAGCAAAGCTGAATGAGAACAGTAAATGTGAAAACTATACTGTGCTGGCAGACCGCAAAGGGGCTTTATGCAGGCCACTGAAACCTTGCTGACGCTTCACCAAAGTGCAGCCTCACCGAAGCTACATTGCCGTGCAGCCTCACTGAAGCTTCATTACCGTTGGTACCAGCTGGGACTTGTACCTGGCATAGCTGGATGCCGTGCGCTCGTACCTGGCAGTCCCATTTTAGCCAATGGGCCCAAGCCTCGGCCAGTACCTGTTTGACACCTGGGAATCCCATTTTAGCCATTGTGACCACGTCCTCGCTGGGCCAGCACCTGTTTGGCACCTGGGTATCGCTGGGCCAGTACCTGTGTTACAGCTGGCTATCCCATTTTAGCCAACGGGCCAAAGCCTCAGCCTTTTACTGCAATGAAAGTACTTTTCTACTGTGACTGGGCTCTACCCCCTACTGGAAATGCAAAGGGGGTGAGCACTTGGGACCAGTGCTCAGCTTTTCAGCAGGGAAACTGGGCTTAGAAGCTTCGACAAGCAACACAACACACTATGGGCAGGCACTCCCTGATTCTCTCTCTCTCTTTCTCAGCCCGGTCGTTAGATCTGTGTTTGGTGTGACTTTCAGTCGAGGTACAGGGACAATTATCGGGTGTTTCTGTTTGGGGGAAGACGGTAGCTTCATTCTCCCGCTGCACTAAGGGAATTGGAGCTGCTGTCCATGGTGGTTGGCCTGGAAAGCTCCCGGGCTCCATCTTCATCTAGGTGCCTCTGCTGCGTACAGCATAGGGGGGCTAGTAGAGGTGGTGGTAGGCGTATGAAGGATCGAGAAGGTGAGTAGAATTGAGATATGGATGGCACTTCACGACGAGTTGAAGTCATAGTGACTCACAAGGAGGATGAGGAGGCAGCTCTAGTAGATCCCACCACACTTGGCTATGGAGGTCGGCAGAACGTAATGTAGACTATTTGGCTATTCTGAGCTATGTTACCACGAGCAATCCCGGCTATTGGGCCCTTGGAGCACACAGTCTGATCCTTGGAGAGAATATCATGAACAAGACTTCGGAATGAAGTTTGTACCACAAGAGGCCATCTGGAGCATTCCCTACTTCCTTAGGGTGGGTGAAGAGAGTAGTGAGCAGGGAGGAGGGAGTAGTGAGGTGGGGAGGGAGAGAACAGGGATTTCCTTTTGGACTTGTGGATTACATGTTGCCAGGTGGTATGGATTACATGTTGCCAGGTGGTATGCGTCTTCTTCTTGTCTTGGTTTATCTTTCTTGGAAATCGATATATTTTGACAGGACAATCTCGTTCCGTTTGGAATGGTGATGAAGTTGGGCTAGGCAGTCTTTTGCTGGATGTTTTGATGCTGTACTTGGTCTGTTAATGGTCCTGGTCTATTGATGGTCCTGGTCTGTTGACGGTCCTGGTCTATTGATGGTCGACTGCATCTAGCTGACTTGCCATCTGCGTGTGGACCTCTCCATGCTTGCAGGCATGGGGTGTTGGTCTCATCTCTTTTCTTGTTGTCGGCAGTTCTCTTGTGTGTGCTGTTCGATGCACAGAAGAGGGCTTGGCTTTCAGTCCCCCTGCTTGATGACAATAATCTTCTTCAAATCTGATCGTTTACTATTCCGAAACAATCTCCAACTGTCTGATGTGTTTACTGAAGTTAGTAGACTTGCCAGTTGGAAAAGGCAGGCCTGGAGGACGAAGCCGCAACTATTTTTTCCCTACTGCTACCCAGATGGAAGTACCCAGCCAGATGAAGCTGATGCCTGTGTGAATCACACTTTGTTGTTCCCATCCAACCCGCCATGTCAGATGCAGGGAACCAGCTTCCCCGCACTGGTTGGCTAGGGAAAGGAAGGGCTGTGCCTGAAGAAAGTGCCACGAGGAAAATGCCCGTTTGAACTGCGGCGATTACATCTATGGGAATGTTGCAGTTTATGCGCATTCCTAGAGGTGTCTTATGGTGGGAGCAGAGTACCCAGCTGTTTGCAGGGTAAAGAATGCGATCGAGGGTAGGTGGAGCGAGTCAGCAAACTGAGAGCACCGGATTGGCAAGGACATGAAAAGCCTGACCAGTGCTGACATGTTCCTCTGCGGCTACAGAGGCAGAAGAAGAGGATGTGGAATTGTGCAAAGCATCGTCTCGCAGGAGACACATTCTTTCTGTTTATTGAGCTCGATAAGAGGGCTGTGAGGGAAAGGGGGGTAAGGTTTGAAGGGCTTGGGGAAAGGGAGTACTAGGTGGTTTGGTTTGGAGGGTGAGGAAAGAGTAGCAGATAAAGAATAGTTTGGAATCCAGTGGAAACTGGTGTGAATAGAGAAAGTAGGGTTGATCGGCTATGGATAGAGTGGGAGAGAAGAGATTGGAGAGGGAGGGAATTGAATTGAGGTCAGGGCAAAAAGCAAGCTAGCACTGGGAGGACTGGAGTGCTTGGCAGAGTAGCAGCAATTCCTTGGCAGCACGAGGATCAACGTCTTGGTTTGGGGGGGGAGGGGGGAGAGAGAGAGAGAGAGAGAGAGAGAGAGAGAGAGAGAGAGAGAGAGAGAGAGAGAGAGAGAGAGAGAGAGAGAGATGGTGGCAGGAAGCAAGCCCAAAGCAAAGGGTGGTAGCTCCAATGGGGGGACCTCCACAGGACGAGGGGCATCTGAGAAACCTGGCGGTAATGCATCGGCGTCAGGAAAACCTCTGGCAACCAAGCAGAAATCTATTTCCTCGTTTTTCGGGGGAAGTTCCGGAGAAGCTAGTGCAGCCGTTGGCAGTAAACCGAAACAAAGGTCTATCGCGTCTTTTTTCGGAGGAAATTCTGGGGCAAAAAGTCCGGCATTGTCTCCCAAAGCAGCAGCTAAGAGTGGAGCTGGTGAGCTTGGGGAGAGCAGAGGCTCAGAAGGGGCTGGCAATCCTGCTGCTGATACTGCTCTGCCCTCTCCTCAGGAGCCAAGCTCTGTGGAACATCCCACTGCAGCAGCGGTCACTGGGTCCCCTCCTTCTAACAAGGGCGGTGGTGCTGTTGATGCTAGCCCTTCTTTGAAGGGTAAGAAGGCTGGTGGTGTTTGCAATAATCAAGATGGAAGCAGGGAGGACAAGCAGGGAGCCGCACCTCATGCCGGAGGTGGTGGGGAAGGGAGCGCTGCTGGAGAAGACGGAGATAAGGAGAGTACGAAGCGTGTTGCTAGGAAGGAGCGAGATCTAGCACTGAAAGACAGTGCATCTCAGAAGGACCATGCTGCAGGGCGCAAACGGCAATCGAATGCGGATGACAAAGACAAGGACTCTGCGGAGGTTCCTGTCCCAGCTGGTAAGTTACAGAGAGAGGGGGACGAGGACAAGGTAGAGGACAAAGAATCCCTATCTACTAAGAGTGCAGTGGGCCGTCGTCGAAAGAGAGTGGTGGGCCTTGTCGGTGAAGGCGAGGAGGAGAGGAGGGATGGTTCTGATGGCACAACTCTTGCTGCTGGAGAACCGATGGACATGACTCCTGATGGTGATGTGGGTGAGGCTGGTCATCATACTGTGAATGATAATGCTGCAACAACACCAATTGGCGAGAGAAATGAAAAACCACCGAGTCCAGATGGAACGACCTCGGCTCAGAAAAAAAGGCGTCGCCTGCGCAAGGTGGGGGATATGACGAATGGCTCATCCGAGAACAATTCTGCATTGAGGAGGCATGAACTAACAGACGACGCAGATGTGCGTGACGATGCTAAGGCAAGAGCGGTAAGTGGAGATGAAGGTGGTGTTCAGATCCGAACATCACCAGATGAATCATCCGAGGGGGATGCTGCTGTGCAGCAATCAGCAGCTGCACATCGCTCACCCAAGCTGCATGCTGGTTCTGACGTAAGGTCCTTCTTTCTTAGAGGAGCTGGTAAATTAGGGGGGCAAGGAGCCTGCATCAATGCGAAGGATGATGCATTGTCGGCGAAGGAGAGAACAGGAAAGGAGGGGAGATGTGGAGGGGCCTCTAGCCATGGGAAAGAAACAAGGGTGGGTGCAGCAAATGCCGAGGAAAAGGAGGGGGATGCATCCAAGGGAAAAGGTGATTCCAAGGTGAAAGGTAGGGGGACAGGGAGATCAGAGGCAGAGGGAGGGAAAAGGGAAAGCAAAAGTGGCAGGGGAGGTGGGGAGTCGGAGCAGCCAGAAGAGAAGCGGGATGCTGCAAGTGACAATGATGACACCAAAGTGCAAGGGGAGGTTGAGGACAAGGATGCAGCAACGGGAGGTAAGGTGTCAGCGAATCGGGTTCCAAGTGATGGTGGAAAAGGGAAACAGAAAAAGGGTGGAGGCCAGACAAAAGGTAAGTTGGGAGCCTCTGCTTCTGCAGCAGGAAACGGCTCAGCAACATGCCAAGAGCCGAAAACTGTGACGTGGCAGCCTGGGGAAAGGGTCCCATACTTGTTTTTGGCAGAAGCGCTACACAGGGTGTCTAAGGAAAGCTCAAGGCTAGCCATGACGGAGATTATGTGCAATGTGTTCAGGACAGTCATGCAGACAACTCCAGAGGATTTGCTGCCTGTCGTTTACTTGTCAGTAAATAAGGTGGCATCTCCTCATGAAGGTATAGAGCTTGGAATTGGCGAGGCAACGCTGACGAAAGCGCTTGCTGAGGCGACAGGCAGGAAGGAGTCGCAGATTAAGCACGAGTGCAAGGAGACGGGAGATCTCGGACTTGTTGCACAGCACAGCCGTACCACTCAACGCACGATGTTTGCCCCGCAACCCCTGACATGCGTCAAGGTGCTCGAGGCGTTCCTGTTTATTGCCAAGGAGACAGGACCATCCAGTCAAGACAAGAAGAGGGGAAGGATAAAGTCCCTTCTTGTCTCGGCAAGGGACTGTGAACCACAGTTTATCATCCGCTCGTTGCAGGGGAAAATGCGAATAGGACTGGCAGAACAGACGGTACTGGTGGCGCTGGCCCAGGCTGCTGTTCTCGAGCACAAGCCTCCCTTTCCGCAGTCAGAGCTGGCTGCAAAACTTGATGAGGCTGTCAAGATCATCAAGAAGGTTCATTCGGAGCTTCCATGTTACGATAAAATTGTCCCCACTATCCTTGACGGTGGCATAATGAGGCTTCCTGAGGTGTGCCACTTCACGCTTGGAGTGCCAGTTGGGCCCATGCTTGCAAAACCAACAAATGGTGTGTCTGAAATCCTGGACAAGTTTCAGGAGATCATCTTCACCTCTGAGTACAAGTACGATGGCGAGCGTGCCCAGATACATTGCATGGAAGATGGGACCATTGAGATCTACAGCAGGAATGCGGAGCGCAATACGGGGAAGTTCCCGGACCTTGTCACTTCGATGAAGAAGTATACGAAACCAGAGACCAAGTCGTATGTCATCGACTGTGAAGCGGTCGGTTATGATCGTGAGACACACAAGATCTTGCCGTTTCAAATTCTTAGTACGCGCGCACGGAAGGGAGTGATCATGGGCGACATCAAAGTGCAAGTATGCCTTTTCGCTTTTGATATCTTGTACTACAATGGAAAACCACTTCTTCGGGAACAGCTGAAGACAAGGCGAGAAGTCCTGTATGATGCGTTCACAGAAGTGAAGGGTGAGTTTCAGTTTGCCACTGCGCTCAACTCGAGAGACATAGAGGAAATTCAGACCTTTCTTCAAGATGCTGTGAACAGTAGTTGCGAGGGCCTGATCGTGAAGACTTTGGACACTGATGCAACTTATGAGCCAGCCAAAAGATCAAACAATTGGTTGAAGCTAAAGAAAGATTACATGGACAATATCGGGGACTCTGTCGATCTGGTACCAATTGGAGCATTCTACGGGAGGGGGAAACGGGCTGGCGTCTATGGAGCTTTTCTGCTTGCATGTTATGATGACGACAACGAAGAGTACCAGAGCATCTGCAAGATTGGGACCGGCTTTTCTGAAGCCATGTTGGAGGAGCGCTCAACTGCCTTGAAGGAGAAGGTGGTACCAAAACCGCGACCATACTATCGATATGGCGAGTCTTTGGGCGCCGATGTCTGGTTTGATCCCTGTGAAGTGTGGGAGGTCAAGGCTGCTGACTTGTCAATAAGTCCTGTCCACCGTGCTGCTGTTGGACATGTGGACCAATCAAAGGGCATTGCACTCCGGTTTCCGAGGTTCTTGCGGGTGCGAACAGACAAGCAGCCAGAGGAGGCAACCACGGCGGCACAGATTGCAGAGCTGTATCGTTCTCAGGCGAATCGACAGCATGAGAATGGACCGGGCAGGCAGGATGACGATGAATGAGTCCGTACTGTGCAATCTAGAGAAGACACTGATCCACCGGTTCTGCTTCTGTATGTTCCACGACCTGGTGCGGGGCACACACGAGTTTTCCCTCCAACCCTGCTGTATGTCTTCTTGCTATCGAGGTTTCCGGTCATTCTCTCGTCTCGCATGTGCAATTCTAGATTCATGGTTCCCCTAGTTTGAGTGCCAGCTGTAGAGAAGGGTGGATGCCAGAAGATGGAGTCAGTTATGTATGCTTTCTTATCTGGCTCTGTATAGAATAAGTCTGAATAACTTGTTGATGGAGAGAGAGCAGCAATTATTGGTTTTGTGCAAGAGGAGCCTCTGGTCCCTCTACATGTAAAAAAAGCCCCCTTGAAGAGCTGTTGGTCTCCTTGCTGTGCTTGAACTCTGTGTTTGTACCTTACCTTAATAAAACACAGGTATTGTGTTTGTTAATTTCATTTGCAGCTGTACTTTGTTTTAGCTAGCGGCGGAGGAAATGTGCTCACAAACTCATCGGTCAGAACGAGTCTCACATCTTCTGGCAATCATTGCGGATGATGATTGCACCGGTGTTTTTCTGTTGGGATCTCAGGAGCTTCTACATTAACTCAGGCTAACACTCCCATAACGTATCATCTACCATATCCACCGTTGGATGGCCAACCAGAGCTTGTTGGTGCTTGCGAGATCCATGCAAGTATCTGACGATGACTCTTTTCCTCTTCTAACCATGTCTACGCGTTTGAGATCTGAGTTTTGGGCTTCGTAATCCTTAGCACCATGTCAACTATACCTGAAGTTGCAGTGGAAGGCGGTCACATATGCAACTGACCCGCCACCTTGCCGTCGTGTGCGTTTTGTGGAACTTCGTGCTCAGCCTCTTGGATGCTGCTGCTGACTGTTCCGCTGTGTGATGATGAAGACTACCGGGCGCGTAATGGACCAAGTCGCTAGCCTGGCGATTTCATAAGAGACCAACGTAGTGATTAGCCTGGTAGATTCATAAGAGAACCACTTGCCTAAACTGTAGTTGGTCTACTACTCCGGTAGCAATTTGTGTAGCCTCCTACTGTTTCTTCTGAATTTCTAAGCAGCTATCCTGAGGTTTGTGGCATGTCAATGTGCCATCATAAGCATACACTATGACGTAGGCTAGTTTAGTTTTTTTTTTCCTTTTCTTTTTCTTTCTATTTATTAAATTTTATTTTTTAATTTCTTAGCTTTTTTTCCACTTGTAGCCATAAAATGAAAGGCCACATCTTGTCCTTGAAGAAGTGGCAACATTATTCAGTCTCTGATCAGCAGCCGTAGCTGATCAGTGCTGTGAACCTTTTAATCGGGACCAGAACACAGTAGTGGGTCTGTCTATTTTTAGCAATCGTTCCCTGGTTACCTTCACAGCCTGGTGGAGAGGGGTAGACAGGAAGTAAGACAAATCTTGACCAGCACAGAAGCTGTGCGGTTGACCACCTTGCTGTGCAGTTGACCCCAGCCCACTTAGCCTATTGCTGTGCAGTTGATCCCAGCCCGCAGGTTAGGTGTTTGCCTGACAAGCGTTGGTTGTGTGTTGGAATGAGGAGTGGAGGGGGAGGGAGGGAGAGGAGAATGCTGTGGTTTGTGGTTTGCCTACACCTGGAGGGGCGAAAATTCCATATCCAGGTACAGCATTTGGCCTGTACACAGACATATACAAATACATCATGTAGGGGTGTAGACATGCACATGAGGCACATTTGTGAGGTGGGCTGCACAATTGCCGTCTGCTTATGTTGGTCAGAGACAGCGCGTCTCTACTCACAGAGCAGGGCGCCTCCTCTCTCGCTGAAGAACTTCTGTCAAAAGAAATTTAAAAAAAGGGGCCAGGCTATGCTTTGCCCTTTGCCACCTCTGAGGCACGGATGCTCTTGCACTGGACTCTTCACTTCTGGGCGTTGATCTTTGCAATCTACGACTGGAACTGGGGAATCTGTGCGAGTGAGATTTTGGACCTGCTCAGCACCTTTTCAAGCCCACAGCAGCTGTGGTGGACTCAGTCTCTACTTGTGCTGTCGATGTCTCTACTTGTGCTGTCGATTCAGTCCGAGACTCCCGAGCTCGGCTTTCCGAAAATGTGTCATTTTTGCCTTTCGCTGTGTAGACTGTAAGGCTAATTATGCTAGGGCTGTGATAGTAGAGGGCAAAATTACTGGGCACCTGTGCAGACCGGTAGAACCTGGTGCAAAACGAAATGAAAAATCAAAAGAAAAGGGAAAAAGTACAGGAAGTCAGTTCTGTAACCTTTTTTCAACTTTTTGTTCGTGTTATGACCCGGAACAATTGCGAAGTACAAATTCACCAATCAGCACAATATTCACCAACTGCAAAAGGAAATGAATGAACTTGAGAGGATGGAGAGGATAAGAAGAAGAAGAAGAAGTAGAAAAGATTGGAAAAGACAATGTACACCAGCAAGAACCAATGTCAAAGCTCTTCTTCTTCGCTCAACTCCCTTGCATCTTATCTCCCCCTCCTCTTTATAAATTCAA